ATCGAGAAGCAAGTTTCTAGGATTAGTTACTAAACATAATTTGTTATTTACTTTTTTTATCTTTAGACTATAGATTTTATTATGTATGTTTAGATTGTGATCATTACATTTAAGACATTATATTATATATATGCACATCATCCGATATAACAATTCGATATTTATTACATATCCAATCCCCGATATTTTCTCAAATTTTGCAATCTGACATGAATTCTAGCCGTATAACTTGTTCATGACCTCTGACATTTAAAATCTTGCTCGTCGAGTCATACTGGTCAAACTGATTATGATTTGTACACATGTATTTTAACCCAAGTTTGTTTTTGACAGATTGAGTAGGTCGGTTGATGGGGTGGGTAGTTTTTTTGCGGCCCTTAGTAGAACACAAATGAACCAACCTTTTATTATTAAACCAGACCTTTATAGAAGAATAGTGTGATTTAATTCTATATTGTTATTTGTTTCTATCAGCCTCCGGGTCTACGAGCTTGTTGGCACGATGTTAGCCACAAGATCCACCGAGTGTAATGTAGAAAGAGATAATAGAGAGAGCAAAACCCTAACTTTTTTTATTAATTTTTCAGAGACTACCGTTTGAATCGGGCTAGCATGCGAATTATCTAAATCCGTTCCGCATGTAACGTTGTGCTAAAGGAATGAGCTCTTTTAGACTTGATGCTACGACTTTGAATACGTAGACTTCGCCATTGTTACGGGAATAGGCTACCCGGCGACACGAGTTAGGTGTTGACTTTAGGATTTTTGGCTAACCCCCAGCCTTCAACGGGTTTGATTAGCCTTTACCGACTACCGTTTGAGTCGGGCTAGCATGCGAAATTGTCGGAATCCGTTCCGCATGTAACGTTGTGGATTAACGGGTCACAGCTCATTAACCCAATACCCAATAGACTTAATCTAACACTACCCCTCAAGCTGGAGCATAAATATCCACCATGCCCAGTTTGTCACATATAGTAGAAAACACCTTTGAAGAAGTAGCCTTAGTAAGAATATCAGCAAGTTGTTGTGAGGATGGAGTGAATAAGAGACACACTATCTTCTTCTCCCAAGCATCTCTGACAACATTACAGTCAACTTCAATATGTTTTGTCCTCTCATGAAATACAAGATTCTGTGCAATGTAAATGGCAGATTGGTTGTCACAATGCATAGGCATAGGTTCAGGTTGAACAAAACCAAGTTCTGTCATAAACTTTCGTAGCCACACCATCTCACAAGCAGTGTGAGCCATTGCTCTATATTCGGTCTCTGCACTAGACCGTGAAACTACATCTTGTTTCTTACTTCTCCAAGTGACAAGATTACCTCCAATAAAAGTACAGAAACCTGAGGTTGGCTTCCGGTCTCCCATATCTCCTGCATAGCCAGCATCAGAGAAAACAGAAATGTGAGTATGCTCATGCTTCTTATATAGCAATCCCTTACCAGGGAAACTCTTGATATATGCCAAAATCTTCAGAGCAGTTGTCCAATAAACTTCTCTAGGTTTGTGCATAAACCTACTCAGTACACCCACTGTAAAGGTAATATCAGGTCTGGTAACTGTTAAATAGATTAGTTTACCAATCAGTCTCCTGTATCGTCCAACATCATCTAGTAGAGAGGTATCATAACGCCACAAATCAATATTTGCCTCCATTGGAGTGTTTGAATGTTTGCATCCCGAGAGACATGTTTCTTCTAATAAATCTAGCACATACTTCCTTTGAGACAACAACAGACTATATCTTTGATATGCAATTTCAATCCCAAGAAAATATTTTAGCTTTCTCATGTCCTTAGTGACAAAATGATGGTTTAGATACTCCTTAGTCTCTACTAAGGCAACAGAGTCACTCCCAGTGAGCAGAATATCATCAACATAAACGGCTAAAATAACCAAGCCAGTTGTTATGCGTCTAAGAAAGACAGAGTGATCAGAATGGCAGCGTTGGAAACCAACACTAGAAATAACCTTGCTGAATTTATCAAACCAAGCTCGAGGACTCTGTTTTAACCCATAGATGGCATTTCTCAGTCTGCAGATAATATTCTCCCCCTGAGCAACATACCCAGGAGGTTGCTCCATATAAACCTCCTCGTCCAAATCACCATAAAAAAAAGCATTCTTCACATCTAGTTGATGCATATTCCAATCCAGATTAACAGCCAGAGAGAAGAGAATTCGAATGGAGTTGAGACGCGCAACAGGAGAAAAAGTCTCAAAATAGTCAATACTATATGTTTGGGTATATCCTTTAGCAACCAGGCGAGCTTTATATCTATCAACAGACCCATCAGGACGATATTTCAAGATATACACCCATCTGCAACCAACCACAGTCACTCCAGTAGGGAGAGAGACCAAGTCCCAAGTTCCTCTAGAAAGCAGTGCATTCATCTCCTCATCCATAGCCTGTTTTCAGGCGGGTACTAACAAAGCTTCCTCATGTGACCTGGGTAAAGATATAGTGGACAAGGACAAAGCAAACTGATGAAAGGATGGGGTGAGACGGTCATAAGAGACAAAAAGAGAGAAAGGATATTTTAGGCAAAACCGTTTACCTTTACGAAGAGCAATAGGAACATCTAAGTCAGAAGAGATATGAGGCTCGATATGAGATGGACCTGCAGCTGGAGAAGAAGAGTCAGCAGGAGCAGAGACAGGTGTATGTACTTTAGGACGATGAGAGTTTGTCAGTAGAGGCTTTGGTGCAGTAGCCACAGGAGCAGATACCAGAATAGTAGTGGGAGCCGTAAAAGATAGTGGTACCTGTAGACTGACGGAGGTAGTGGAACCAGAGGAAAAATATGGAACAGACTCAAAGAAGGTAACATTAGCAGAAACAAAATATCTCCTGGTGGTTGGATGATAGCACCTATACCAATTTTGAGTACGTGAGTATCCAACAAACACACACTTAATGGACCTAGGAGACAATTTATCCAAACCAGCAGTCAAATCCTGAACAAAACACGTACAACCAAAAACTCGAGGAATCACAGAAAAACGTTTTTTAGCAGGATAAAGACAGTGGAATGGTATCAAACCATCAAGAACAGAGGAAGGCATTCGATTAATCAAATAACAGGCAGTGAGGACAGCATCAGACCACAAGTACTTTGGAATATTCATATGTATCATCAGTGTTCTAGCAACATCGAGAATATGTCTATGCTTCCTCTCAACAACTCTATTTTGTTGTGAAGAGTGAGAGCATGAAGTTTGATGAATAATATCATTAAGAGCACAAAATTTTGAAACGTCATTTTTCATATATTCCAAAGCATTATCAGTACGAACAGAAGTAGAGAACTGGGTTTTTATTTCATTATAAAAAAGTTCAATAACATGCGAGACTTCAGACCTCTCTTTCAACAAATATAGCCAAGTCATGCGAGAGAAATAATCAACAAAAACAATGAAATATCGAAAACCCTTCACAGATGGAAAACGACAAGGACCCCAGATATCAGAATGAACTAACTCAAAGGCAAAACTACTGCGTTTATCGAGACGACTTTGAAAAGAAGCACGATGGTGCTTACCCAGTTCACATGACTCACAACCTAAAGAAGAAAAAGAAGACTGAACAGTAACTACTTATCTAAGTTTCTATAGTGAAGGATGACCCAGACGTCAGTGTCACAGTAAGGTAGAATCAGGCTGTACTACAACAAGACCAGCACCCGACACACTGTCGTCCAAATAGTACATACCTCCTCTCTCATGCTCCGAACCAATCGTCATCCCAGTTGCTAGGTCCTGAAAAATACAATAAGAAGGAAAGAATGTGACTTTTACAGTTATTGTGCTTTGTAAACTTGCTAATGGATAATAAGCTATCAGGGAATTTAGGAGCATATAACACATCATTGAGTTTCAAAGAGGAAGTACTATGAACTACTCCAACACCAAGAACTGAAGAAAATGTACCATCAGCGATGCGAATAGAGGGAAACTTATTAGAAAGATGTAAAGAAACAAAACGATCCTTTATACCTGTTATGTGGGATGAGGCTCCAGAATCTAGTACCTATGGTTCATGAGGAGAAGCTAAGTAAGCATCCATACCTGAAGAGGATGCATGAGTAGCCGAATGACTGTTCTGAGAGAGCTCTAGTTGGCGTAACCTCTCATAATCTGCCTGAGAGATCTGAACAGTAGGAATAGTAGCAGCTGGATTACTAAAAGTAGTAGTAGAAATAGGTGAGCGAGTCGACTCGGCATCGGCTACTTGGGCCCATTAAGGATGACCAAACTTCTCCCAGCACTTCTCAGAAATATGATTGGTCCTCCCAAAGTGACCACACTGACGTGAATCCTTATCAGAATTACCATGTCTCCCACTAAAGGAGCCACGTCCTCCCACAGAATCACGACCACGACCATGACCACGACCGCGGTCTCTGCCTCTACTAGAGAACATGGCAGACTGATCCAATGAAGATGGAGACGGTGCAAAAGTATCAGAAGAAATATCAGTAGAGACCTGCATGACTCTGAAGAATGTAGCAGTCAGTAAGGGGATGGTATCTCCACCCAATATTTGTCCTCGTACCTGGGACTGTAAGGTAGAGTGCAATCCAGAAAGAAACTTGGACACTACCAAGTCACGGCGATATCCCAACAGCGTCGTCGCATCAGCTACTGCAGGCTGATGCATCTCCAGTTCGTCTATCAGCCCCTTTAACTCACCAAAGAACTTCGGAACTGACTTATCTCCCTGTTTGAGCGCAAACAGTCGCTCATAAATCTCAAATACACAGGAACCATTCTTCTCATTTCCGTACATAATCTTCAGGCTATCCCACATCTCCTTCGTAGTGGTTAAGAACATAACACTACTACTAATTTGTGGTTCCGTGCTGTTGAGGAGCCACGTCATAACACAATAATCAGACGAGAGCTAGGAACTGTAAGTGGAATCTGTGGTGGGTGGTGGAGAGGCCAGAAGATGTGGAAGTTTGCTCTGAGCGCCAATGAAGATGCAGAAAGCCTGAGACCAGAGCAGATAGTTTTTACCATTCAATTTTATTATAGTCCCCAAAACTACCTTGAGCGCAGAAGTCTGACCAACAGCAGCAGAGGGAGATGTAGAAGAGGAGAGATCTGTTTTCGACATTGTTGTACAGTAGTGATAGGCAGGTAGTAGTCAAATAGCCAGGGCAGTAGTAGAGATCTATTTTTTAAACATAGACTAAGAGCAGATCAAAAAATAGGCAGTAGTAGATGATCGGATCGGATCATATGTGGCCTCGAATCACCTATTCAAGGCCATGGAAAAAAAACAAAAAAAAACAAAAAAAAACAAAACAAAGCGGCGCGGTACTGTAGCGGCGCGTTATTGTAGCGTATGTGCGGTGACTGTATGCGCGCGGGACTGTAGCTAGCGCGAGACTGTAGGGCGGCGGTAGACTTAGCGGCGGCGGCTGAGACAGAGGCGGCGGCCTCGGCTAGGGTTTTTTGAATGAGGATTTGTGGCGGGTAGTGATGTTCTGATTTCCATTAGAAAGGTTAAATGCGAGAAGGAAAAGCCTAACTTTTTTTATTTATTTTCAGGAGACATTATAATATATACTATATATATATAATAGTTTATTATAATACTATATATTATATATATATATAGGGGTATGGTTAACGGGTCACAGCCCATTAACCCAATACCCAATAGACTTAATCTAACATGTATTATATTATTTAGCCCAAATCACCGCCAAAATTGGCTAGTCAATGTCACACTTGGATATTTTGGCTTATATATTTAAAGCCTTCAAATTTTTTAAAGCTCATTGACGTGGGACTAATCTTTGGGGCATCACAATCATGCCATCTTACATGCATGATGTCATCATCGTAGCATGGCAATTGCTCCATCCTAGTCTCACAACCAGTGATGAGGCGATATGGATTTTAGAGGTAGCTCCTACAGGTTCTAGAGGTGGCTTTACCTATATTTACACAGTGCAACACTTAGTCTCACATAGCAGTAAGTTCCACACTTCTATTGGCTGACAAGTTTGATATTGTATGCCACGCCACGAGCCTATCGAGATCAACATATTGTTTAGTTCAAACCATCGCAAAAATTGAAAATTGGCTAGCTAAGGTCACACGTAGTTGGCTTATAAGCCTTCAAAATTTTCAAAGCTTCCTAATGTAGATCAATCTTTGGGGCATCGCAGTTTTTATGCTTCTCGATTGTTTTCTATGTATCGTGGCCTTCTCATTAATCTATTATTGATTTCAGTACAAACTCTCTCTTCTCTTTGTGTATGACAAATTTTCAAGATGTATGGGTTGGTATGTTGGAAATAGTCGTAGGGTTTGAGCCAAGGATTAGACTAGCAGACAGCACATCAGGTATCAGGTTTGAATGTATCATTTCGGGCTTCACTAAAATCATCAGTCAATCTTGAAAACAAGGCAGATAGATAAAAATGAGCTTTGTTTCCCTAGATTGTTTCTGAATCATCTCTTATTTACTCTATTAGCATTTCTTTCCTTTTTCTAATTTATGTTTTCAAGTATTATATCTTTTTTCTACTTTCCTTCTTTTTTTAAGTTTTTACGCAAGCTAGCAATGAAAAAAATTGTGGTGAGTGCCGTTTGGGGGGTTTTCTGAAAATTGAAAGTTAGAGGGTTTTCTGAGAACCCATAACTTAAAAGGGGTTTTGTGACATTTTAAAAGTTGATGGGTGTTATGAAACTTACCCTTTCTACTGAATGTTCTAGATCTTACCTTATCTCCTAGGTTTTCCTCTTTTTGTTCATTTTATGTTGTTATTTACTTTGCTCTGCTTTCCACGTAGGGACACACTCCATCCCTTGTCCTATGCAAGATAATGTAACACTGGAATCCTTGACACGTAGTTGGGCATGCAATTCAGAGTTTAATGTAATTTACCTAGGTTTTACCTAAAGTTGGTTTCTTCATGACAATTCTACAGTTGACTTTTTATCGCAACAATTAAGTGCATAAATGATAAGCCGCCACCTATCGAAGTCTATGAATGGTTGCACAACGCCCATAATTTTTTTTTTTTATGGTATATAAGGTTGCCTATGTGAATTGATACTAGTCGGCTTGTTTCGTATATCAAGGAGAATCAATATGTAGACAACATATCACCTGCCTAACGACATGGGAAGAGTTTTATCGGTTACACAACGCTTGACAGTCTCTCGTAATTTATGTGGCGGGTGGCGATTGATGATATCTTGTTTCGATTTGTTATCCATGGCACGCTGATTCAAATTTACAGCATCATCATCTTCCTACTTCTATCATTCTGCCGGATAGGTGCATGACATAATGCCTAAAAGGACCCATAAACATTGTTGATAATTCTAATCAGTTTGAAGTTCACATTTCAAACATTAAAGTATCAATCAAAACAATGAGAATACCAAAGCGAAATTATAAAGGGTACCCATTTTGAGATTCCATGAATTGAGCAAGCCCATTGTTATTTTGTGAAATTCCATACCTACGGGCTCAAGAAGCCATTTTTCCGAAGAATTTGATGATGGGTTCTGAGTTGAAGAAGATCTCGGAGCACGATGGTTCTTCTCCTTGCTTAATAGCGTAAAATGGAGAGGCTGTTTTCTTGAGGAAGATTTGAAGGGGAGAGAGGAGAAGGGAATGGTGAAGGGTCGTTGAGAAGAGAGAGTAGGAGAAGGGAGTGAAGGGAAGCGAAGTGAGGAGAGTGCTTCCATTTGCAGAGGAGTTTGATTTCTTTGGGGAACAGAGTAATAATTAATTAGATGCTGATGCGCAAGGCCATCGCTTTTGTGGGGGATGAAGATAATAGGCACTTTTGCACTTCAAAGCTCGGCCAAGGCTTTTTTACTAGCTGGTAACTGATTTGATGTGGCTCTGGTCTTTAGGGCTTGTTTGGATTGAAGGGAATGAGGGTGAAGGGAAGTTAGGGGAACCATTCACCTCCATTCATCTAGTTTGGGAACACTTAGGAGGTCAAGTTAATTCACCTCCATTCACCTTGGTTCACCCCCTAATAGTATAAAAATTGTTACCCCCCAAATTGGGGTGTAACCAAGGGGAAGAGAATTCCCTTCCCTTCCCTTCCTTTCCCTTCCCTTCCCTTCACTCAGTTTCCCTTAACTTCCCTTCACCCCCTACGAATCCAAGAAACTCATTTCTTTGTCTTGACACCGCTCTCATTAAAGCTAAACCCATTCTAGGGTTTTCTTTGTCTCACTTTGGTTCGCTTCCTCCTTTTGAGCTTCCAACTGTAGAAAACTCATCCACCTCAGCTCTCTCCCTTTCCCCCATTTCCTTCCAAAACATGAGGAAATCGGTAAAAATCGTTATTTTTTGTACTATTGTCAGTTTGCCGGTTTTATTGGGGACAAGTTCTTGAAGGCTAGGGTTACCGCCACTTTCCCTCGTTTTATTCACTCTCTTCACGCCTCGATTCCTCAGTGATCGTTGTGAGTTTATTGAGTTGTTAATTTTCTACTCGATCTATGATTTTGTTGGTTTATCGTGCCTCCATTCCTCAAATTTTTGATTTTTTGCTGGATTTTACCAAAAAGTCAGCTCCCTTCTTTTCAACTGATTTTTGGTGCTTGATTTGTGCAAATTCATCAAACTAAGGTACAATTTCTTCCTTTTTAGTAAAATTTTTGTGATAAATTCTGGATTTTGTAATTTCTTTATTTCTGAGATTTCAGACCTTGGTTGAGATATGTTGAATTTTTCGACCTAGTCAAATTAGCTAAATTTTTTTGAGTTTTTACCGAGTCTGCACATATACTTCAAATATGATTGCTTTTTTTGTTGATTTTCTGACCCAATCGAATTAGCTGTTGATTTTCTGCACAATTTCCTCATTAGTTTGCTCATTTTGAATAAACATTAGTTAATACAATGCCTCGATGAGAATTTTAACAGAAAGTTGCTCTTTGAAATAATCTTCTCTCTGAAAAAAGTATAGCACTCGATTATGAAGGTGCTTACAGTTAATAATAATTGATGATTAGAGTATGGTAATCACCTTCCTAGATTATTCAATCATTGGAGATTGATGTATTTAGCAAAATGATGATTTCAATTATGTGAACTTGCACTATGAATG